TGATCAAATAGTAACTATTTATTTTTAGTTGAATTAAACATTTTAATTTTAATAATTTACTCTTATTAAAATGTATACATTTTCATCTGTTTCTTTGTTATATTTCGGTTGTTAAATGTTTTTATTTATTTAATATTTATATAATAATATTTATTTAATAATATATCCATTACTATTTCATTAAAATAATATAATAATGAATATAAACAACATATGTATTTTAAATGTATTCATTTAATGCAATTTATATCTTACAAATGCATGTTAATATTAATTTTAAATATTTTAAAATATTATTTTATTATTAATCAAATATGAATTAGTTATAATTTTTTTATTCAAATAAAAAAATGTAATTTAACTAATTACTATTAAACTTAACCCTTACGTACAAAAAGAGGGGAAATGATTGAGTAATCATAATTTTCAGTAGTTATGTACTGCTAAAATCTGATTCATTTATACAACATGTTTATACAACAAGGATGTTGAGTAGGTCACATTAAACAAGCTAAACATAAGCAGTGATACATGATGTGTTTTCCTCTTCTCCTAACAGTTGCAGGTCTGGGCGACGTCCAGCCTCACAGTACCCCCTGTGAGTCCTCTTTATGTTTGGTTTATTGTTCCATTTTACTTTAATATCTGTTCCTCTTTTTCACTTGGTCAGACATATTTCTAAACCTTTACATGCATCCCATATTAAAACATTCCATCTTTAATATTTAATCAAGCATGAACAGGCTGATTGTTCTGACTGTTTTGTTTTTGATTTGGCGCTTGTTTATTTGTTTCCATCTCATAACTCATTAAAACGCTCCCCCTGAAACATTTTCCATTTTATGTCTCTACACAGCAAGCCCACACCTCCACTGTGAGGATGAGATATGCGTGGAATTCGTCAAAGAGTATTTTATGAATTGTAAGAGCTTATATCTTCATTAACTGTACTAAACTAGAGATCTTGTGTATTTCAATATCAAGGTTCCATGACAGTTTGCATTTTCTACTGACTTGAAACAAATTCAAGAAAACAACTCGCAGAAAAGAAAGAAAAAAATATTTCATATTTCATAATAATTCATACTACGTTTTTTATTTTATTTTCTATTTAAAGCTCACTTGAGATCAACTCAAGTAAGAGCAAGTGCTCAATTGTTAATAGTTCTTATTATTCTTATTGTTTTTTTTTTGTGGATAATGTGATACATTTTTGATCAATTTAATGTGTCTTTGCTGAATAATTAATAATTAAGTATTAACTTCTTAAAAAGCTAAATAAATAAATGTGACCCTGGACCACAAAACCAGTCATAAGGGTCCATTTTTGGAAATTGAGATTTATACATCATCTGAAAGCTGAATAAATAAGCTTTCCATTGATGTATGGTTTGTTAGGATAGGACAGTATTTGGCTGAGATACAACTATTTGAAAATCTGGAATCTGAGGGTGCAAAAAAAATCCAAATATTGAGAAAAATCACCTTTAAAGTTGTTCGAATGAAGTTCTTAGCAATGCATGTTACTAAGCAAAAATTAAGTTTTGATATATTTACAGTAGGAAATTTACAAAACATCTTCATGGAACATGATCTTTACTTAATATCCTAATGATTTTTGGCATAAAAGAAAAATCGATAATTGTGACCCATAATAATGTATTGTTGTCTATTGCTACAAATATACCCGTGCTACTTATGACTGGTTTTGTGGTCCAGGGTCACAAATAATAATAATAATAATAATAATAAATAAAAGTAGCTAATAATAATAATACAGTACAATAAAGATCTAGTATAAAAAAACAACAACAGCACAAGTACAAGTTAAGCAGAAAAAACTGTTTTCAACATTGATGTTTCTTGAGCACAAAATCTGCATATTAGAATGATTTCTGAAGGGTCATGTGATGCTGAAGACTGGAGTAATGGCTGCTGAAATTGTGTAAAAATTTATGAATATATAAAGTCATACATAAAGTCTTTTACACGTGACATATACTGTATAAATCTGCATTAAATGAAAGTTGCATATGCTCAGGCACTTTCTGATACTCTGCATGTATTTTCCAGCCTACCAATGGCAAACCTCGGAGTGGCTTGACACGTGTCTCCCAGGACTGGAATCACCACCTCGAGACCAGACCCCTACACCACCTCCTCCACCCCTTCCTGCTCCTCCACCTCCCCTGACCCCTACACGGCTAGGCGGCACCCCTATCCACCTGGGCGGCAGCATGCGGTTGGATGGCAGCACTCTATCGCTGCAGACTGGCTACCCGTTACGACGATACCAGGGCCAGAGAGATTTCCGCACGTCACTAACCCTGGACGACAACAACTCGCCTGTATATGAAGAATACCGTCACCCGGATCACTACGACAACGCCTCTACTGTTCACCCGCTGGGTTTTAGCGAGGGCCGATCCAGACCCGACTATCATCACTCCAGCCAGTACCTGCTCTCTCACCCTCCCCTACTGGCCTGGGAGGAGCGTCCGCGTGTCTGGGAGGACACGCACCCCTTCGGCAGCCAGCAGGAGATTGACAGACTGGGCAGGATTTCACTTCAGGCCCAACGCTTGCGTAGTCAGAGCCCAAAGACTTCTTTGTCTGGCATGAGAGAGTATTACTGACCGTTAACTGGACAAAGAGTCCTTAATTACACTGGAAGCTTGTGATCATGCAACTGAGGACTCGACCTGAACATGTGTGCTGATCTGTCAGGAATGGAAAAGTCTGGACTCTCACAGCCTCAACCATACTGTACACTAGTGATTATTCTTCATGTACTTCATTAAAGGAATAGCTCACCCAAAAATGAGAATTCTGTCATCATTTACTCACTCTCTTGTCGTTTCAACTTGTACAACTTTCTGGTGTAGAACACAAAAGAAGTATTTCTCCATACAATGAGAAACTGAGGTCCGAAACAATTGGATTGGAGGTCCAAAATGCATTGGATCCCATTTACTTTATCGTGAAGAATGATTTTATAGACATTCTTCAAAATATCTTCTTTTGTTTTTTACTGAAGAAAGTCACACAGGTTTGGAACCATGTAAAGGTGAGTACATTTTTATTTTTGGGTGAACTATCCTTTAACTAGATGCGTGTGAGAACATTATTAACTCATACTTTTTCATGAGCGCATCTGAAAAACATGATGATAGGGGGTTTGTGTACTAGGTATGCTACTGTGTTTATTGAGAAACCACATATGTTATTGATGGAATCCATATACAGCAGTGGTTCTCAACCAGGAGGCCTCAGCAAACTTACAAGGGTGTCTCAAGATGATTTCAAAATATTTAAAACCAAGATACTGTTCTTTTGACCCCCTCAACATTTTTTTAATTGAAAAACCAGGATTCCTACAGTCTTGGAAAACATGGATATATGAGGCTATTTTAAAAGTGTTATTTCTAGACCTGGAAAACTAAATTAATGGAAATTAGTAAATGCTTAAAATGCCATGAAATAATTATTTTATCAGCTAGAAATTGAGTAAAACATTTAAGAAAAACTGGATATAAAGTCTTAGTTTTAGTAAAAAGTCTTGGGGCCTTTGAATATTGCTGTGGACAATGGGCGACCTTGGAGTCAAAAAGGTTGAGTACTGCTGATATTTATGACTAAGGAAGACCAAATCTTCCAAGTATGTATTTGGACAGCCAGTGTTTTGCTATGACAACAGTCTTGAAGGACAGAGGAAACCTGTTTCATTCTATGGACTATATAGAAGCTGTGGAGAAAAACAAGTTCATATAATTACATTTTTGTCAAAGCTTCAAGGTTTGCAATGTATGCGTACTCAAAATGATTCCAGGAATGAAAGCACACAGATGCATTTTACATAAATGAAGAGCTGTTTATGTAGAGCTGTTTGTATACATGACAGGTACATATTAATCTCTCATCGCACATCTGGCATTTTAGTGCTTTGCTGTTTATGCTGCGGTTTTTGTGATTTTGATTTAGTTTAGGAGGGAGCAATTTTGACACTTCAGAAACATCCGTTAATTGTTTAGAATGTTATAGACTTACTGTATGTTGAAGAAAAAGGTTCTCATTAAGGTTGCTTTGAAGTTGTGGCTAATGGGATTTTTTTTTCACACTATGCTTATTATATCTCTGTTTTCCTTCATCCCCAGTAGCCCATATACAGTATACAAATCATACTGAAAATCTACATCTGAAATTTTACTGGGATTATGACATAAATATTATTTTGTTTGTCCTTGATAAATATTTTAAATATATTTAATACCTCATTTTAGTGATCATGCATAGACTTTTTTTTATTGTTTTTATAGTGCCTTTGTAGAGTCCATTTTACAAGTCATTTTACAAGGCATGATAAGCAAATAGGAAAAAGCATGAAGACTGTTTTATTTAATTTTATATTTAGTTTGTTTCTGTAAACAAACCAGAGAATATTTGATTAAAGCAATAAATCTGATTATTTTAATGGTTTTCAGGATGACCCTGTGGGTCAGAGGTTCTGATGATCTGTGTTGTGCTCATACATGTTAATATTGTCCATTTAATGTGTAGAAATCACCTTGTATGTATGAATAAAATGCATTGTCCAGTGTAAAATAAAAAAGAACTACAGCTACCATAATATGTCATCTTTACATTGATTTAACAAGTATATCTCAGTAGTAAAGATGTTTCGGCACAAATGCACATCACATAATCTTTTCATGGCTATACAATTACGTAAGTCATATTTATGTCATTCTTCTAAGAGAGAAGCATCTGTTCACTGAAAAACACCACTCACAGTTCCTTTATGCAAATTTATGTGATTTTACAATTGATGAAAATTTCTACTCCTATTAAAATCCTCCTGATTGACACTTAATTGAACGGTTAGACTGACGTTATCACACATAATGAGCTAAACAAATCTTTGCACAAGCCAATCTTCCTTGTGCACAACAGAAAGCCACAAGAGTACAGTTGAAGATAACAGCGTTATACACAATGTTCCAGTTTTTTATACAGTAGTTACATCATTGTTTGTGTTCCATCTTTTGTGGTAGAAGTGCACAAAAGGCCACTCTTTCCAAATTTCCAAATGCATTATTTGTGCGTTTAAAGAAACAACTGTACAGGAGACAACACAATCCGATTGCATGATTCAAAGCTTGTTTATGGGCAAGGTTCCAGGAATCCGGCTTATATGATCGAAACATAATGACGCTTTCATTTCTGGGCCTTTTCTCTATATGGGGACTTCTCCAAGATTACATTGGTTTCATCAGAGATGAGGTTTTGTAAACACTGTGTTTCTGTGTGTTTATGCTCTGGGTGTATCAGTGAGCATGACCACTTTTTCTTTTCAAGTTTGAAAGTGTGCTGTTCAAAACTGCAGTAAAATATATTTAGTGTATTATCTTTTTTAAATTACTTTGGCCCTGAGTCAGTTAGGTGGGAGGTTAGAAAAATGGGTTACATGGCCAGCTGAACCTGCATTCACACTATGATACTTTCAACACACTATCATAGCAATTCGGAACTATTTTATATGGAAGCCTGTTGCCGCCACAGAATAAAAAAATAAAGTAAATGCAACTTTTTTTCTTACAATTCTGACAATTCTGACTTGCTATTCTGCATGGTGTTAACTCAGAATTCTGAATTATTCTTACAGTTACCAGTTTACGCCTCACATTATGAGTTTATATCTTGCAATTCTGACTTTTTTGGTTCTGCCATAGAATTAATAAATTGAAAAAAAGTCATTTTAACTTTTTCTGACAATTCTGACTTTTCCTCATAATTGCGAGCTTGTATCGCACAATCTGATTTCTCATTTCAGAATTGCAATTCAGAGTTTATATCTTGTAATTCTTACATTTTTATTTTCAGAGTTGCACAAGAAAAGTAATAATTATGAAATATAAACCCTGACTTGTGTGAAAAAAAGTCAGAATGGTAAGATAATAAGTGACCTTTTTATCTTGTGGTGGAAACAGTCTTCCATAATTTTACTGTTTTGGCAAATAACTGCCTATTTTATATGAATTTATATATGACCTGCTGTTAGCGGTTAGGTTTTTTCTAAAATCATACATGTCCGTTTTAATCACATTGTACGAAATAATATGAAATCTCCACCTCATAAAATAGTCAGGTTTTATCATGAGATTGGGTTGGATACTTGTGTTTTATTGGACATTGCGCAAATTCACAATAAGATCACAAAATCGCTTAATTAAAAATCGTTTAATTTCCACCTCTTCACAATAGGCTATCTCTATTTTCCATAGTCTCTCTCTCTCGTGAGTGAAGCAATTTCACTGCTTTCCAAAATTATGCCAATCACATTCTAGCACTGAAGACTGATGGGTAATTAAGCCTAAACACAGTGGATCCACAAGGTCAAACCGCTACAATCTCACAGCTGAGTCGACTTCCACTAAATCAAACGCGCAACGCAGAATGCAAGGAGGATAATTTATGAGGAAATGAAACTAGACGTAATCCCTCTGAATTAATACTGGTGTTTACATCTTTAAGTATACCCAACCACTAGAGAATCCACACTCCTTCAGTACCATTTCCTTTGACTTTTAAAACAAGTGAGAGCAAGCCGTTGGACTGACAGAAAGACGGCTGGTTATATAAGGAGTGGGTGAGAGATGCTGGATTATCGTTCCCCTGTTTCTGCTCGGAGACACGAGAGAGTTAGGGGTGATTATACCCACACAGTCTACTGAATAATACACAGATTAGACACACTACCCAAGCCTCATCTCCATGAAAAACAGCTGCCTTTGCCTCTTCTGACAATTCTGACTTGCTATTCTGCATGGTGTTAACTCAGAATTCTGAATTATTCTTACAGTTACCAGTTTACGCCTCACATTATGAGTTTATATCTTGCAATTCTGACTTTTTTGGTTCTGCCATAGAATTAATAAATTGAAAAAAAGTCATTTTAACTTTTTCTGACAATTCTGACTTTTCCTCATAATTGCGAGCTTGTATCGCACAATCTGATTTCTCATTTCAGAATTGCAATTCAGAGTTTATATCTTGTAATTCTTACATTTTTATTTTCAGAGTTGCACAAGAAAAGTAATAATTATGAAATATAAACCCTGACTTGTGTGAAAAAAAGTCAGAATGGTAAGATAATAAGTGACCTTTTTATCTTGTGGTGGAAACAGTCTTCCATAATTTTACTGTTTTGGCAAATAACTGCCTATTTTATATGAATTTATATATGACCTGCTGTTAGCGGTTAGGTTTTTTCTAAAATCATACATGTCCGTTTTAATCACATTGTACGAAATAATATGAAATCTCCACCTCATAAAATAGTCAGGTTTTATCATGAGATTGGGTTGGATACTTGTGTTTTATTGGACATTGCGCAAATTCACAATAAGATCACAAAATCGCTTAATTAAAAATCGTTTAATTTCCACCTCTTCACAATAGGCTATCTCTATTTTCCATAGTCTCTCTCTCTCGTGAGTGAAGCAATTTCACTGCTTTCCAAAATTATGCCAATCACATTCTAGCACTGAAGACTGATGGGTAATTAAGCCTAAACACAGTGGATCCACAAGGTCAAACCGCTACAATCTCACAGCTGAGTCGACTTCCACTAAATCAAACGCGCAACGCAGAATGCAAGGAGGATAATTTATGAGGAAATGAAACTAGACGTAATCCCTCTGAATTAATACTGGTGTTTACATCTTTAAGTATACCCAACCACTAGAGAATCCACACTCCTTCAGTACCATTTCCTTTGACTTTTAAAACAAGTGAGAGCAAGCCGTTGGACT